AGATAGCTTATCTTTTTGTTTCAACAAAACTTACCAGAAACACTTTTTTCCTGGCAGGGCCACGAGAAAGTGCAAAAGGCACTGGAAAAGGCACCGGAAAGGCACTGGAAAGGGACTGGGAACAGACACAGCACATGGCAACAGTAAGAACAGTAGCTGGAACCGCCCGGCATCACTTGAAAACAACACACGCATGTGAGGTCTCCGGTCGCCGGCCACACCCAGTACCGTAGATGGACGAAATATTCAAACCCTTTCAACCACGTGGACCCCTTCTACCCCAAAGCTCAATGTTAGAGGTCTTGCAAGAATGTTTCGGCGAATGGACGAAACAAATCCAACCCTGGAAACACAAATTCAATCAAGTTATGTTCAACATTGACCTTTGGGGGTCAGGGGTTGGCGACAGTTATTGGTGCATGGGTTTGAATATTTGGTCCATCTACTGTCTAAAGGTGTGACGTTTGCATATTTTTGGCTCGTAAGTATCAAGTCTAACATCTTCATCCATAGTACTCTGTGTTTTAATTTAGATGTTTTTAAAGGCTCTGAGGTTCCAGGCATCCCCTGCACACCTCTAACATTCTTAGGTTGTTTCAAAAATTGTTTAATTGTTTCTAAAATTGTTTCTAAAATTGTTTTAATTGTTTGTAAAATTGTTCTAAAATTGTTTTAATTGTTTGTAAAATTGTTCTAAACTTGTTTAATTGTTTCTGAAATTGTTTCTAAAGTTATTTTAATTGTTTGTAACATTTTTCGAACATTGTTTAATTGTTTCTAAAATTGTTTCTAAAATTGTTTAATTGTTTCTAAAATTGTTCTAAAGTTATTTAATTGTTTCTAAAATTGTTTCTAAACTTGCTTAAGTGTTTCACAAACTGTTTCTAAAATTGTTTGATTGTTTCAAGCATCGTTTGTAGCATTGGAAAGATCGTCAAATTGCCTCTTAAATTGTGAAATCAGTTGGATCATTTGGATATATAGCGGTTTGTAAGTTTGAAATACTTGTCGTTATTGTTTGAACATGTGGAGAAAGCATGCTTTGCAAACATGACCGAATCAGCGAACGGCGCCAATCAGCGAACGCACTTTTTCATTCAAACTGGCGGCCAGCAAGTCATCAAGCAAAACCTTAGCCTTAGCCCATCTCCCTACCTGGCCAGTGGCCTTGGCTGCCGTTTCTTCAACAAAGCCAGTGCAGCCATGGAATCTCCACTACCTGGCCAGTGGCCTTGGCTGCCGTTGCTTCAACAAAGCCACTGCAGCCAAGGCAGTTGCCACATCTTCTGAGCCGGGATCACTTGCATCGTCTCGTCGAGGAATCCATGGGAGGGACGCGACCCCAGCTTGGAACATGGCCATAGCCACTGGGAGCGCCATGGCGTTGCCGGCAAGGTCTTGGAGGAAAGAATGAGAAGAGCAAGCAGCAGGCAGGCTGCATTTATCTTGAAGGTCTTGGAGGAGCAAAATGGGAAAGCCTTGAAACATCAGACCTTCCTCACCTACCATGAGCCGCTGGCGCGACTCCATCCACAGCTGCTGCCCTGGCAGCATGGTCGGCGCCAGCTGTTTGGGGCTACATTCTCTTTGCCAGCTGACAAAGCCTCCACGTCCAAAGCCTTGACAGCTCTCAGGTTCAGGAGAATACGGCTTTCAATCTCTGCCAAGACAAACTCACCAAGTTGCTCTGACCCTATGGCAGCTTGCAAGCTCTTCATAGAAGGTTTGCTCAGCAGGACTGCTCATAAAACTTGTCATACCTCACTGTAGAGGCAATTCTGAGCAGCTTTGGCCAAAGCTAGCCTCAAAGTATAGCAGGTTCCCAAAGATTCAACGCCCAACAGTTCCAGGTGCTTGCTGCTCTCCTCAACAGACGTGACCACAGACTCTGGAGAAGAAGTTGGGCTTGATACTGCTGTGAACAGGTTCTGGAAAGCCAAAGCTGCTGCCTCTAGGGAGTCGAGGTCTTTGAGTTCATTGTCGAACAAGTCCCTGTTGGAGCTTTTGTCCATTCGCTTGCTGTGTTCCCTGGCCTGTCTGCCAATGGACTTGACTTCAGCAATTCGATCGGCACAGCTCTGCTTGACCTGTGGCCGCTGTTGAAGGCCTGCTGGTTGAGGGCTTGCTGCTGGCTGTGGCTGGATTGCTGGCTTGCTGCTCGCCGCGTCTACCTGGCTTCTTCTTTGCGTCAAGGTTTGCTGGAGCCTGATGTTGTTTTGGTTTGCTGGGGCCAAAAAAAGGAAGCAGACAATCCATTTTTTCTGATCCACTGCTGCTTTTAGTGCCTTCTGAGCTTGAGTCATCCTGACTGTCTTCGACTGCTGCCTGGTGAGCGGCCGCAAGGTTTGATTTGGGCGAACTCGGCTGGTAGCCTCCCTGGCGCAAGGCGTCGAGGACTCCTTCCAGACTGAGCTCAGAGCCTTTGCTTTCCACTGCCATTTTGTCTCGCTGCAGGGACCCTTGATTGATCTGCTCCAATGCTGCTTTCCTCTTCCTAGCAAGGCCTTCGTCTAAGCCTGTGCGACTGTCGTGAACCAACTCAGACTCCTGCAGGGCTGAGTCCTGGTACTCTTCGTAGTCATACACACCCTTCTTGCCAGCATGAATCCAAATTCCTTTCACATCTCTACCCCAGAGGTGCTCTATCACTTCCTTGGTGGAGTCGTAGTCCCCATACTGTTGGGAGTCCCATGCCTCCTGAGTAACAAACTGTTTCTTGGGGGCGATAAATTTGCCACCTGTGCCTCTGGTCATCTGCATTTGCTTCAAGGCTTCCTGGAGCTCCTTCTTGCTCTGAAGGCGTTTGCGAGTGGGCCCGCCTTCATTGTGCTGTCGGACCCAGGCTTTGCGGGAGGCTAGAAACCCTCTATGATCATTCTGGTTTGCCTTCTTCGACACGTGCTTGTAGTAGTCATCCACGCTCTTATGCTCCTTGTGAAGGCCTCAGGACTGGGGGCCTGCTGCC